CGGCGCGGCGGCGGCGGCGGCGGCGGCGGCGGCGAGAACGGCGGCACCGAGTCTCGGTGAGCGGCGGCGGGAGGAGGAGCAGCGGCGGCGCTCGCTCGCTGTTGACGGGAGCGCTTTTGAGCCTGGGAGCCCATGCCACTGCGACCGGCGTGCCCGGGAACGGAGATCGCGCGCGCGCCGCCACTCACGACGCGCGCGCGATCTTCGCGGAGTCGGGTCCCCAGAGGGAAGCGGTCTTCTCGGCCGACGTCCAGCGGCGCGCAAGGAAGCAGGCGCAGCGGAGGCGGCCTAGCACCGGCTCGGCGCCGGGCGGTTGCGCTGCCCGCGAGCCGCGTCCTGAGCCTCGGCAGCGCGCTGCGCGGCGCGGCGCTCGCGCTGCTGCGGTGCCGAGAGCGGCATGATGGATCGCCAGCTGAAGCTCGAGACTCCTCGGGTCCGCGAGTTCTGGGGGTCACGCAGGGTCACGGGGATAAACGGCGGACGACGCGAGGCCCTTATATCATTAGATGCGACGACGCCGCCGCCCCTGCCGATCCCTTGCTCTCGCGGCTTCTCTGCCTCTCGGCGTAACGTCGCTCTCCTTGCATCGTGTCCGGGACCAATTTGTCGAGCGTTCCTCGATGAAATTCTTTCGTTCGTGGATCGTGCGCCGCGCCCGCGGTGTGTGTACAATATGCGCCTGCGGGCGGACCCTTCAGATCACAGGTAGGTAGGTAGGTAGGTAGAAAGGTGAAGAGCAGCCAAGCTCGGACTGGACACCAACGCGGTATGGGTGGACGCTAGACTCCTAGACAGATGATGACGACACGCACGAGCGACACACAGACACAAACAGGCTCACAAGACACACAGCCAGCGGGCTGCCACACACCCTGAGTAGGCGTACACATAACTCAGGGCCACATCCTCCCTGTCGCCCCCCCCAGATCACAGATCACCCTTGCAAGAAAGAGAAAGAAAAATCTGCTCCTCCAGACCGCGAGAAGTCATGCTGGCCGCCGCGCCGTCTGTGCGCGCCGCCGCCACAGCGTGCCGCCGCTCCGTCCGCCTGCACGCCGCGTGCCGCTCCATCCGGATCATGGCGGCCGACCGAGTGCCTGGAGTAAAATCTGTGAGCGGTGCCCCGGTGTTGCAGCCCGTCTCGGCTCAGGCGGCGGCGGCCGCCGCGAAGATGGAGGCGGCGGTGCGGGCGCAGCGGCAGCAGCGCGCCCGCGCGCTGGCAGAGGCGCGAGAGGAGGCGCGAGTGGAGGCGATGCCGCAGCAGCAGTCCGGCGGCCACCTCCGCTCGCTGCGCTCGGCGCTCGACCGGAGGATCGACGGTCAGTCGGCGGCGAAGGATGTCGTCGGGCGGGCGCTGCGCCGCCGGCTTCTCGGCCTCTCCGACGCGGACCGGCCGCTGCGGCTGCTCTTTGCTGGCCCGTCGGGCGTCGGCAAGACGGAGCTCGGGATTGCGTGTTGCGAGGCGCTGCTGGGGAGGCGCGCCGTCGCGCGCGGGGGGGGGCCGGCCTCCGCCCTCTCCTTCCCTCACCGCCGCGCCTCGCATCGGAGCAAGAAGCGCGTTAGGGGGTCCTCCTGTAGCTCCCGCGCCCCTCCCGCCGCCGGCACAGGTGCCTCCCCGACCGCAACTTTCGGAGGTGGAACCTGAGCGAGTTTTCGCACCCGAGCAAGTTCAACCGGCTGACGGGCGGCGACCCGAACTACGTCGGGTACAAGGAG